TTTTGAGTTAGTGTTTGTTATAGTTAGTATTTGGGAGTTCAATAAATTGTTGTGCTTTTTTATTGGTTTACTGGAATCATTCGAACCCCGGGAAACGTAACAATATTCAAGTAAATAATGTCATTGATGTACAGTTTGTGAAAGAATCTTCAAACTTAGTCACAATTTGACAAATGCTTGATATTATTGACAAAAGCTACTTCCTGATCATTTCCAAAAACATCAGTGCATCTTTGACTCTTCATCACACAATTGTAAAGGAAAACTTTTTCATTATAAAAAATTTTCATAATTTGGTAATATTTTAATATTAGTCGTACTCTCCTGCAAAAGCCTGGTCAACAAAAAAATGTTGAGACGACGCTAATTTCTTTGTCTTCTTTTTTTAAAGGTTATGATCTGCAAATAGGGCAAGAAAATTACGGCGAAACTTATCAAATATAGCTTTAACGTGACGTAATTTAGATAACTATTGGAATCCTATTGAAAATATCCAGGTCCGCCAGCTTGATAAGGTGCGCTATTTGCATAATTAATAATTGTATATATCTCGGTAAGTGAGCATTTTAGAGAACAAATATGCAGTTATGAATTGTTCGGCATGAAATGTTCCATAAGATAGAGTTGGTCCGATATCCGTATATTTGAAATGTTTGCTTCAGAATGATTACAAAGTCCAAAAAAGTGAGTAAAAACAAGATAATTTCAAATTATGTACTTAACAATGAAAAAGTAACCCAATCAGGCCATACATTTTGAGAAAAATATTTGACTACAAGGCAAGACGGATGCCGCAAGACCGATTAACATCGGACGGACAGTTTCTGCATAGTGCAATTGTTAAATAACCTACCTGAAAAAAAAATGTATTTTTTACATTGTGCAAGGCTAAAAGTTATAAATCTCTATAGCGCCTGAGCTTTTAAACCTTCTTGGACTCTTAAACTATCATACACAATTGCTATATAAACCATTTTTTTTTTAATGACTTCTGAGCGGTTTTAAAAAGTTTGAAAATTTTGGCATTTAAATGAATAAACCTGTGAAGCAGGATTTGCGAGTAGGAAAAAATCGGAGTAAGTTATGATATCCTATTTAGCCAACTTAACAAATTCATGATATTCTATTTCGCAGCTAAGCATAAAGAAATATTTAATTATGCTTACGAGGTACATAATGTTCTTTAGTTTCACAGATAGCATGTAAACTCATCAGCATTAATTCAGTATATATTCTCACAAG